CATCCTCCTTTAACTTCCTCTGGCTAGTCACATTTCAACAAAGTATAGCCATCTTATAAAGTTACAAATGTTGTTCTTGTGTTGCTCAGTTAGTGAATATCCATATTTAAATATTTTATCATAAATGAACCAATGCCCGCAGCAACCAGTTCTGTGAAAGAATCAATTCCAGTGCAAAAGGAGACAACAGCTTTACCCACAACCACAGTCTCCTCGACCGAAGCCACGACTACCAAACCGACAGCCAGTCCCAATGTCAGCGTCAAGGCTATCCCCAAGACTGCACCACCAGCTCAGTCTGTCCAGCCCAGCCAGCCAGCCACTGCTACAGTCACCTCCGCACCGACTAGCACCAGCGGAGCCAGCGTCAAGCCGTTTCCCAGGATGAGTTTGCAACCCGCCACTAGCACGGCCCCGGGAAGGCTAAAACAGCTCCTTGTTGGAGAAGACGAAGCCGGTACAGGTTGGTTCAAAGCCACTTTCCACGATGTGTGATTTTCGTGGACCTAAATTTTGAATTAACCCTGTCTTTGTATGTAACTTGTTTTGGACTTGTGCTAATTGTGTGTTGCTGTGGAAAAAAACAAAGCCATAGTCATAAAAGACCTAATTTAGACATGGCCTACAGACTTGTAGTTGAGCACTTGTGAGAATGAAGACTGGTACAGATTTTAACTCTAAAAAAAGCTGGAGGGGACCTTATGTCAGATCGAATCCAAACATATGCTTATAATGAACATCTTTACATGCATGCTCAAACAATAGAAATCTTGTCAGGGCAATCACTGGAGAAATATTTTACATGGGGACTTCAAATTTGGCTTGAGCATTGGTTGGTTTAACCCACAAGCCCATTGCATTAAAGCCTGAAAGGTCAAGGGTAAAGGTCACAAGGGCTAAGATAAATTAAAGATGTGGGTTTAGATATGAGCTTGGCGAGGCACGGGTCTTTGTTGACACTTCATTCTTGATTGCTGTCAATTTCTGCCAGGTCTAGCTAGCAAACCAGCCCTAGCTGGGTCGGCAGCACCACAGCCCTCGGGTGAGGACGAGGCCGGTACCGGTCAGCCCGCCACTGCCGCTGTGGTTGTCTCGGACACCGATGACCATCCCCCCTCTGCAGTGACCCAGCCGGCAACTGCTGCAGTGACAACAGCAGCAACGGGGCTATTTGGCAAGCCAGCCGTGACTCCTGCGGACGCCGTGACTGGTACCTCAGGTGGGATGTTTGGAGCAAAGGCAGCAGCTGGGACACCTTTTGCAAGGGCAGGAGCAGTGACTACAGCAACAGCAACAACCTCGGGTGTGTACTTGCTGCCTCTCAGACCAGCTTGAGCCATCTGGAATCTTATACACCCCCGTTTGCCATTTCCTGCCAGGTGCTTTTGAAAATGCAGTGCCTACATACGGGCGATTTTTCAATATCTTCAGTTTTCAAAAATCTTCAACAATTTCAAAAAATCTTTTTTTCCTGAACACCTGAACCCCATGGAGTGACTGTGTGGTGGCTACTCTAATCTGACATCTATTGATGCTAGAGTATTTCAGCCAGGTACCGTACCAGGTACCACTTTGCAAAAAGAGCCTAGATTGCGCAGTGTTATGGAACTTTCTTTTGTTCCCAAAACTGGCACAGTGTGCTGCTGACGTCTTTTCAATAGGGGCCAGATTAGCGTGCAGCCGTATTGTATCGCTCATCACTGGAGCGCTTTTGTCCAAGATGATGCAAACAGTTTTCAACTTGACTTCAGACAGAAGGTCTTGTGATGGTGTAAGGGGTCATCAACTGCATTGTATGTGCGGTTGTCACGAGTAAATTAGGAAACCATTTCTTTGCTGGAGTCTTAGAATGAAATTATGCTAACAATACAAGCTGTGTTGCCACCTTCAGACTTGGAGGTGTTCTTGAAGCCTGAGACTTGCAGGTGTTCTTGAAGCCTGAGACTTGCAGGTGTTCTTGAGGCCTGAGACTTGCAGGTGTTCTTGAAGCCTAAAACTTGCAGGTGTTCTTGAAGCCTGAGACTTGCAGGTGTTCTTAAAGCCTGAGACTTGCAGGTGTTCTTGAAGCCTGAGACTTGCAGGTGTTCTTGAAGCCTGAGACTTGCAGGTGTTCTTGAAGCCTGAGACTTGCAGGTGTTCTTGAAGCCTGAGACTTGCAGGTGTTCTTGAAGCCTGAGACTTGCAGGTGTTCTTGAAGCCTGAAACTTGCAGGTGTTCTTGAAGCCTGAGACTTGCAGGTGTTCTTGAAACTTAAGACTTGCAGGTGTTCTTGAAGCCCTTAGAAGTACACTAGAATGTCAACCATAAACCTTCAAGTTTCATTGAAGGAAGGTATAGTTTAGTTATTAACTAGAATCCTGGATAATTGTTGATGTGGTTTTTGCAATTCTGATTTGGTCTAGGTACTTCAGCTGGGTTAAGTGCGCCGTCATTTGGAGCCCCCTCATCTGCTGGACTTTTTGGGGCCCCCCAGTTTGGAGTAAGTACCCAGCCTTCCGCCTCTGTGTCTGCTCCTGCTACAAGTGCAGCACCTATGACCTCTGCGGCAGCAGATAAACCCAAGACGTTGTTTGGACTCCTGAAGGAGGATCAGCCGGCCCCTTCCGAATCCAGCTCTGGGACTCTCTTTGGAACAGCGACCTCCAAGGATGGTGGCTCGGTAAGCAAAAATCTCTTCGGCCAGCCCACCTCCACGAGTGCCTCCCCGTTTGGCCAATCTGCCACCACATCTGGCGGGCTCTTCGGTCAGTCGTCATCCAGCAACAGCGGGCTCTTTAGCAAGCCGGCATCCACAACTAGCTCCGGAGCGCTGTTCGGACAGTCAGCCACACCGGCCAGTAGCGGTGGCCTCTTCGGACAGCCGATATCCACCGCCAGCCTGTTTGGCCAGCCATCGGCAACAAGTAGCGGGGGAATTTTTGGCCAGGCAACTTCAGCGGCCTCTTCCCCCTTCCAGCAGGCCGGGTCTGGAGGACTCTTTGAGACGTCAACCTCCGTTCCAACCTTTGGGCGACAAACAGAAGGTATACACGCATGGCAGTGCCTCTTGCATCATGAATTAACGTTCATCCCACAGGCCCACAACTGTTGACTTCATCAGATAATCGTTACAGTGTAACCTCTGTCACACTTATGAATGTTACGCGGCCTAAGGGTACGGAACACTGAGCGGCATTTGCTTCTATTTTGCCACCGTGATTGATGAACAAATTCTGTACAATGGAATGTGTGAATAGATTTATGAATTTGTAATTAAGCCAACTATGACGAAGTCCGTCATTCATAACAAATTTGTCAAGTCAGTGTCAAAAATTTATTGGTTCAGAACTTCTGTTGACTGGAATCATTTTCCACAAGCCATAAAAGTTTAGGATTCAAGTTAGGAACAACCCATTTTATCTTTAACAATTCTTTCATGTATTGTTTTTGAAGTATTTCAAATATCCTAGCCTGACGTGTATCCTGGTTAATCCCCAATCCACCATCTAGGAGTATTTGGAAGACCTTCTAGTTCAGCTCCCGCCTTTGGTCAAGGTCATTCCCTCTTTGGTCAAACACCAACGACCACTCCTTCCAGTGGCAGTTTGTTTGGGGCTGGCGGTGATGGTGGAGGTAACAAAAAATAAAGAACAAATCCTGATTTAATAAGTCAGTTTAGTATTTCAATGAGGCAAGGTCAGTTTGGATAAAAGCACCTGGCGCATTCATATTGATCCTCCCAGATGACCTTTGACGCCCTTCATAGGCATGCTCATTGTCTGCTTTGTCAAGATTTGTAATTCTTGGCCCGTGTTTTTCCCCCCGAGGATTTTAGAGGTTTCTTCTGAAACCTTCAGCACACCTTCGTTCGTTGGTTCGGTCGGTGGAAACAGCTGATTTATTCCAATAGCATCTTTGTTGAGATAAATGATAGAATGCCTTTGAGTGCTGTATCAATTAGGTTTTGTTAGTACCGTCGCACTTCTTTGACAAATTAACCCGTGGAATTTAAACTGAAGTTGAACACAGTCCATATCGAATAGTGAAATATCATTGGGTTTTGAATTTCTGTTCTCAATGTTCCCAGGAGGCTTTTTCAGCGGTCTCGGTAGTCGGCCCAATCCTGAGGCAGCCAGATCCAACCCCTTTGGTTCACCCTCTGTCTCCTCATCTGGTTTTGGGGGCCCCTCTGCCGGTAAGACCAGCTTTTAAGAAGTATGCATTGGAGGGGTTTGTCTTTGGCATACCGGGCTCCAGAGAGCAAAATTGAAATCTGATTAGTGTAAAAATACAAATTTATTTCTCTCCATTTGCTCAGGGTTATGGCAAAAGTTCATAACGTTTGTCATTTGGAGATATTAATGACCGATGGCTGTAACTCTGTCATTGAAGGAGTTTACTTCTTTAACGCTGCAGGAACTTAGAAGTTAATTTTTTAATAAAGGTATTGATTATTGCCTCTTTCATCTTGTGTCATTGTACACTCAGGTTCTTCCAGTCTCTTTGGGAATCAAGGTGCCACAACCTTTGGCAATGCTTCAAGCACCACAGGCCCTGGTATGTCTTAGTAACTGTAGTCTCTTGTGTGCGATTTTCATACTTTATTGTAGTCTTCACTCAAGTCAGCAGTGTCTGTGTTGTGTCTCATGTCCTTTGAAATCTGTAATGCTGTAACTAGCCTTCATCCAGTCTTAACAGTCACAGACAGTCACAGACGTTCGCAACATTCCATTCGCTCTAATGTCTGGTTCATGCTTCGTTGTGATTGTTGCAGTTTTTGGAGGAAGCTTCAGTAGTCCAGAAGGGAGCGTGGCCAAGTCTGGCTTTGGAGGGTTTAGCCAGCAACCAAGTGGTGAGTTGTTTTGTCAGCTTTTGAAACACGTCCTTGCGAAATTATCATTCCTGTTTTATGATTTTGACCTGATAAAAATATTTGACTTCAGCACCTGCACCTGCTGGTGGTTTTGGAAGTCCTCCAACCTTTGGCAGCTCTCCAGCATTTGGCAGCACACCATCGTTCGGTGGTTCGGCATTTGGATCGTCAGGGGTGGCTGCAACAAGTCCCTTCGGGCAGCCATCTGCCTTCGGAGCCAGCGGTTCCCAGACAACCGGGGGTTTCAGTGGGTAAGCTGTTCTGTTTAGGAGTCCTGCCCCCCCTCCCATGAAGGGCTCCCTCATTGGCAAAAAAGACAGGCTGGTCTGAAGTTTTTCAACAATGCGCGTACGCGCACCCGGTGCACAAACCCGAAACAAACAGCACGTACCGACAGTGAGTTCCCACCAAAGGACTGTCACTGTGTAAAAACACGTCTACTCTTGTTCTCGCTGGGAGTGGATCGACTCAGTGGGGGATTTCCTCGGCCATGTCTGGATATTTTTGCCAGCGTTGGGTGCAACTGGATATCTACTCTGAAAACTATTTTTTACTCCACAGCGATGCAGTGTATCAGCTATTCTGTTAATGCACGGACTGTTTTAATAGTAAACGTAAGAGCACAGTTTGGGTCATTGCTATCTTGTTTATGTCCAGATTTCGTCACTGCCCGTTTTGTCACTGCCCGTTCTGATTGACGGCAATATTAAGCTTGTACAGTGTGGAAGGCCATGGTGCAGGTAGACAGCAAAGTACAGTCTGGTCCGGCTGACAAGCCCTGTTGATTGACTATTCCACTCCTTGCACTCAAAACAGCTTTGCCTCGCAAGAGACGCCGACTTTTGGATCTCTGTCCAGCTCCAAGCCACAGCAGCAGGGTGGTTTTAGTGGGTTTGGAGGTGGATCAAGTCAGTCTGGATTTGGTGGTAAGGAGATAGTTTGCTCAAAAATTTCAAAGAAATTTCAGTTTAAACTTTACACACTTCCCATAACTTTCATTTCATCTTCATTTACCTGCAATATCGTGGTTGAAGAAGCCATAGGTGTGTGACATTACTGATAATGAGTGTCTTTACAAACACGTTAAGTTTTAAAAAAGATTAGACAAGGGACAGCCAAATTCTGAGGAAAGGGGGTGGGAGAACAGCTTCTAGGTGGCCCATAAAATAACTGGCTCTTTTAGGGGTAAATCAGTCGGATTCCATATTTGCATTTCATTTGTCTCAACTTTTGGTACTCAACTTTTCCAAATTTATGTGTGCAATCGTGTTTTGTAAATGTTTCTGACATGCTCGGTGTTACTTTGAATTTGCACAGCCCGTCTTTGTAACGTCAGTAAGAAATTTAAACCTCGCTGACAAAATGTTGGGAACAGTGAAAAGTTTAGATGATGATGTCACAGAGGGAATGAGGAAGTGTGATTGGATACAAGGACATACTGGTGTCATATAACATGGCCCGTTGAGGGTCACTATTCACATAGCAAAGCTGTCAAATTTATACGACCCTTGCTTTAACCACTTCCTGTCAGGGATTCGGGGATCGGAGACGTATGGTTTATTTCTACAAAGGAGAGACACTGAGGCCAAGGTGTAAAATATTCTGCAAAATAAGTTTAGAAACTGGGAAAAAAATAATGTTTTGTGTGCTTGAGCCATTGTATTTAAAGACTTTATAAGCTATTTTCTGACAAAGAATTCCTTAATTTAGCAAAAAATTGAACCATAGATTAAACAAAGAGAACATGTTTTGTTTCAATTTTGACGCATCTTTCTGACTGCAAAGCGGGAGCATTATACCAACCACACCCCCACGCTATAAAGTTAACCAACCCATTACGTCACAGAATAATCAATTATGCTGCGTGCATGCATATACGATCTGAAACTAGGGGGACAAAGACCTAATCGTAGCTGTGGTCAGGCTTCAATCTTTTCAGCAGCCACCAGTGGCCACTGCTGCGATGCCCCAGTGAATGGCTGTGATGCCCTTTAAAAATAGCGCGTACCTTTCGGCTTCTTGGCTGATGTGCCCCTCTTCAATGATCAGTAGGCCTTCACGTATTTAAAGTTTTATTCAACTGTCAAGTTACCATTTAGCGCTAGCATTTCTGTCAATGGCCGGCCAGCCCCACCGAGCACTATTTTTTTTTCACGGACTGGTTTTGCATTACCCTGTAGACAACATGGTATGGCAACCATACCAATGTAGTTGAGTTGTCTGACTCTAAAAACGTTGCACCAGACTACTTTTATACATAGACTGGTTACAAGTCACGGCACAGAATTACACATTCTGCACCGATTGAATTTTGTATATTGCACATATTGAGACCGAGTTACTATTTTGGGGGGATTGCGGACGGGAGTATGACCCCGTCTATTTTTTTCCTCGCTATTTTACTGGTATTCACGCGGGCGCTGGGCATGACAGCGGGCTTCTATTGGGTAAATGTTTGTGACCCAGTGAACGACTTGCCTGAATTACATTCTTTGTGAGTAATTACATTGACTTTGAAATATAGTGTTGCCTTTATGGCATCATGAAAAGTAATAAAACACAACACCAAATGGTCAATTAAAAGTTAGGACAGTATTATTTAGTTTTATTTTTACAATTCAAGCAGACTGCTCAATATGTGAACAGATACAATGAAAATTTTCAGGTTGAAAGTTAAACACCGTGTTGAAATTTGAAGGAAAGTCTTTTAAAGTCATCAACAAGCATGATAAGTAAAAATATCAAAGTGGCCTTGGTGCCTTTTCAGTTGGCCTTGATGCCATTTGGTTTTTGGGAGCATTCAAGGCCAAGTGGCCTTGACCCTCTGGTCGAAGCCTGGCTGTGGCGTCCCGTTTCGGACACCGCCTAAACCTATGTATGCGTGCACTAGCTTTGTTGCTACACATTATGCCAGGTTGGGCTGGCTGGCCCCATGCCCTGGCACGTGTCTGCAGCCGGTAATCGTCAACTGAATGTTGGGTGGCAGAACGAAATATACCTCCCTTTATGTGTTGCAAATCAAAGCCCAATCATAGTGCAGGCAAGCCTCATTGCACAGTACGGCGCTGCAGCAAGCTGGGTCAGCCAGCCCGGCTGGCCTGGCTGTGCACTTATGTGGCATGAAAATGATCGTGTACCGGTAGACTGTGACACAAAATACGTGTACATTCACGTGAATATGAAGCCAGAAACTTACAAGAAATGTAGGGCATTTTGTCAAGGGGCACCACTGCCAGGAAGAATGGGGCACACGGCTAGCTTTGGCCGTGGACAAAGTGGAAATTTTCAGGGCACCACAGCCAATTGTAAGGGCACCGAGCGCCACGGCCGCGGTGGCTGTGGTGAAATTTGAGCGCTCCAACAGAGCAGACTTGGGTGGATGACACCTTCTCTTTATTGAAAAGGCAGACTGTCAACAGATTTGCAAATTTAATATCTGTCTTGAGCAAAGTTGTGTTTGATTCATGTCTGTACCTCAAAAAAAAAAAGAAATTCACACCTCTCATAATGTAACATGAGCAGTAGGATGCCATTTCCCATGACATGTTCATCGATGATAACTTTGACAGTCCATGGTGTCATGTCATCAAAACTGGGTTTCCCTTGGCAGCTGGGGGGGGGACTGCAGATAATTATTTTCTCAGCTCTCAGACACACTGGCTTGCTCTCTGGAAATCCACAGGGACATCGCTGTTTGTGTATATGAGAAAAACTGACACGATTCATGTAATGGATGCCTCGTACATGAAGCGGCAAAGTTCAGTGCCGATTTTACCTGTCCATTCAATCCACCTGTCCATTTTACCTGTCCAGTTAATCCACCTGTCCATTTAGGCCACCAGTCCAATTTTGGCCACCTTTTAATTATGATTGCCTGAAATAGGGAATTATGTACAGCTATTTACAATCATCACTTGATATCTCTGTTTATATCACACAGATGGGTGTTGATGAAAAATTGCCCGATAGGTTGCCTTTGTAGAATATTTGCAGCGTTGTTACCTTAAATAGAACTGTAAAATGGCATGTACGGTATTTTGGCACTTTAATTGATGGCCTTTGTGGAACATGGTTTGTCACATAGATACCTTTTGTAGTGCCTATGTGCTCTTCCAAAATAAAATTTTCATCAGTTTATAACTTGACAACATTTTTGGGAAGGATATCTGAGGGGGAGTTGCAGGCTTCAACAGGATACACACAAGTAGCAAACCTCTCTAATCAGTGCACAAAGATAAAAGCCTCTGTCATTTTGGTTACTGTGTTACAGATTCCAAAAATGTCCGTCCACATCCTTCTTCAAAAACAGTCTTGCCACCACAGGGAGCAATGTGGTATTGTTTTGCATCCTGTCAGGCAGACCTGAAGCTGAATGATTGTTATTCCCTCCACCCCTTCCCCCCCCAAAAAAAGACGGGACAACAATAGAGCCTGCTATGCTAAATCACTATGGACAGTACCTGTGTGTATTTTTAGCACCTGTATAGCTGATTTGTTAAGTGATGATATTGTCGTGTGCCACGGTGTCACCTTTCCATAGGAGCGAGCCAGTAACGACCACAGCCCCCTCATGTAATTTAAAATTGCCAAATGGCTTGCCTTAAATTTTCTCTCCGCTGGTGAAATCTGAGCACGTTGAGCATGACTGAATTTCTGAATTTCAGTCGGAAGTCTGGTCTCTTTTTAAGCAAGCCTGTCATTTCTGTGATCATTATGCATTAGTCGTAAGGAGGGCAATTTATCTGTGGTTTATTTTTAGACGTCCAAGAAGATTGTCTTCCCGGTTCTTGAAAATGATCAATCGAGTTAATCAGATAGCATTCCTCCATTTTTCTACATCTGTACCAATGTTACAGAAGGCAGTGTTCTGAACATGTGAATATTGTAACTTCAGCATTTGAAAAATGTTTCGTTTTTGTTCAGGAAAATACATTTAAAATATACCCAAATCACTGCACAACTGATTTTGGGGTGGAGTGTTGATGTAATGTGTCTAAAGTTAGCCTGAATGGCAGTTTTGACTTAGAAAAGTTTAACGCCTTCTCCAGTTTCTAATCGCAGTGGGGCTGGTCATTGAGGTAGAGTCTTGCAAAGATAGTTGAAAACCACTGGAAAGAGTAAAATAAAGTTGTTTTTATATTCCTTCAGGTTTTGGCAGTGGTGGACAAGGCAGCAGTGGGTCGAGTGGGTAAGTTATAAAGTCGGAAGAAATGCTGCTCCAAAGGTTTATCGCTCGTGGATTTCCTGGCTAGTTGTATAGTGCTGTGAGTAACACTGTGTTTAGGCTATTCGTCTTTAAAGGGATGAACCATTTGTATGTGGGGGGGGGGGGAGTTTGACAGGTGCAGTATGTTACTGATGTAATGGTGCATTTCCTGGCGTTAGTTTTCTAACTCTTTGTTTCCTTCGTCTTGCTGTCCCTTGTTGCTCAGGTTTGGTGGTACCTCGTCGTTCACTCAGTATCGCTGAAGTCTCTCCTGGCCTGACCTTTCCCCAAATCATCCCGTGATGCAACATGACTCACCCAGAACCAATCACGATTTCAGATCATCGACACTGTACTCAACACTCACTGAGCGACAGAGTCTAAACACCGGTGCCCTTCAAATCCAGCTGAGTCACCCAAAACATTCGCTTCCTTTTATTCTCACGTTTCGAAGTTGGCAAATTTATCGGGGCAGGGTATGCCCTGCAGCTGTAGTTTTTGATAGAGACAAAAGTACTTGTAAATCAACACTTCTGAGATTTTTCTGTGAACCGTCAGAAACTAGTTTTTCAGTCTGAAAGTTTGGTTCCAATTTAATGCCGTTTCGGAAAAGCCATGCAAACAGCAACACTTCGTTTTTATTTAGCATATAAAGAAAAGCAGTGTGTACCTTGCCTGTTATAATTGAAGAGTCAATTAATTGCTCCTTTTTACCCGGATTTTTGTTGAGCTGTTAATTAACAGTCGTCATGCATGCTGTTTTAGTCACTAATTATGGTCAGAGTTCAGCAAGGGTACTTTATGTACAGATGTGTTTGGATAAACTCAGCTGAACTTTTGCTTGGCGGAGCATGCTTGAAGAAGTGCAATTGACCATGCACAGAAAGTGAGGGAGGTGATTGGAATTCAGTAGCTGTCAATGGCCTCCCTGATATTCAATTCCTCCATCAGACACTTCTGGTGGAACTGGCGGCCAAGGGGGCCATTGCCACCCCTTCCCCACTTTTGGAGGGGATGGGGAGGCTTAATTCATCGATGTAGTGATGGCTGAGGCCTGATGGTCTCTTGGTTGGCCCCCCACATTTTGACAATCCTTTGCCCGTTCGTTGCCATCAGGCTCTACATGTCAGGCCGTCCGGGAACGCTGCGAAGTCAATTTAACAACTGCGCTGCTTGGCCGCAAAATAACCTTGAGGGAAGACTAGACGTCTTGCCCACATTTCTTGTACTAGAACTTCTAATGTTGAGCCAAGTAAAACAGTGAGAGAACATGCCCCGTGTCAAAAGTTACTGGAGGCTCAAAACTTGAGCTTATTTTAGCACAGTATCATGCTGAGGAAGGCTCTACACCCTTGCTTTATCCCCGAGAAATGCTGGAGTCGGGAAAAATCGAGGGATGTTTACTTCTGCCGTGAGATATGCTATGATTTTCCTGTTGCCGTTGCCATGGCGAGTGACTTAGTAATGACTCAGTCAAGATAAAAACTCTGCCATCAGCTGCATGACTTTGAAAGAAAAACTTGTCACACTTGATCTTGCAAAGAAGGCTCACCTTGGCAACTTGGTACTAAGTCGGTCAGTGGTCAGAACACAAAGGGGCGGGACTGAATGGATCGGTACCTATTAATAGCTGATGCCTGATGGTCTCACAGCCCCCCCCCCTTCCCATATTGGAAATTCTTGTACCATTGCCACTGGAGTCAACATCAGGCCTCAAACCGTCTATGTCACCGTAATCATTATGTTACACTGTAAATTTTGTATTTCATTTGTCATATAATACACAATGGCATTTCCAGTAACAAACCTATAGTTTTTAGCTTTTGAGCATCGGAAGACGGTACGTTTTACCAATATAAGCAATTTTCTTAAAGTGATTGGCACATGTAGCAGACTTTAAATGTGCCATAATTACTCCTACTTCAATCCATTGAAATCAGATTTCATTGATAGGTTTATTTTGCTTCCTTTTTGTTCATGTTAAAGACAGTATATGCTACTGTTGTTTTCTGTTTGTTTTTCTGTTGTGCATGATTTGTAAAGTTGTTAATCCAGTTAAAATTGTGTGATGTCATTTCTTGGCCATTCCATGGTGCTTAAGCCTGTGCATCTCTGACTAAGTGTGTACTTGGCCTACAAAGTATTGCTTAGATGACGACGAATTTGATAATCTGAACAGCGTGCAAAAAGGCTTGTTTACACTGAAGCCCTACAAGGAGACGTTCTGGCAAAGAACCTGTAGTACTTGCAGGTTGTAAGAGTTGGTTTAGCTGCATTTCATTTTATTTTGCACCCCAAAAAATCTGGGCCTCCTCTGTTTTACTGTGGTCAATTTAATTATTTTTAGCATCAGGCTTGCTTGAAAACAGCCTGTTGTTTATTTCTAGCACCTGAAATCCATCCAGCAGTAAATCCCTTGTGGAGAAGAGATAGCATCTAAAGCACCATGGAAACACCCAGGTCTTAGCGAGGGCAGCTCTGACCCCATTCAGAGATCGCTGATGTTGTTACTGCGCTCTAAGCGCAATAGCTTATTGCTTTCTTCAGGGTAACGGAGAGGGGCAAGAACCTGAGGTTCGAATCCCATTGGGGCCCTGAATTGATCTCTTGCAGCTTCCTTCACGAGGACTTCTCCTAAGTGTCTTTATTTCCCTCCCTCCCCCTTGCAAGCCAGACCTGTTTTCCTTGTCCCCTTCTCCAAACAAAGTCTGTGCCCGGAGGGGAGACAGGCATTAACGTTGCTGGGAACATCCCCTGAGAGCAGATGAAAAACAAAACCGATCCAGTGCAGCAGCCTGCTTTTGTCATTCATTTGATTGTGTTACTGGCCACAATTTTTTGTTTCAGGCGATATTTGTCAGAGCTGCCTTCAGTTTTATCTGCCCTGCATGCGTCAATACTCGTGCATGTAACTTTTAAACGAGCATAGCAAATTTCTTGACGGAGTGTCAAAAATCAATCATTGTACTCGGATATTGAAATGAATATATAACCCAAGGTAAGGATTTCTTTTGTTTCAACTGTAAAAAGACTTGCATATTACTGTGCTTGCATTCAGGCAACGTGTCAACTTTTCATCCCGTAATGTTAGAACCCCTTTAATTTTCACCACTATAGCAGTGCTCTCAAGATACACTCTCAAGTCATCCGAAATATCACTTGCAATGTCACTTTAAGACCCATGTGGACTTCCCTGCAGTGCATTAGTGACGATGATTCAGTCGCTAAACCGGAAGCACAGACTTTTACTTAAGCTTCAATTCATCGCTGCAGTGTGACACAGGCAATCAGGTGGTTTGCTAGCATGGTAGTAGAGTTTACTTGGGAGACGAAAGCCTTCCATGGATTTTCGCTTTTCATTTTGATATGATATTTCATTGCCCCTAAAGTTGACTCAAGCACTGCTAGCGATGTCACTTCAGCAGTGAGTGGACTAGTGGTTTGAAAGAATGAAATAAAATGGCTCTTCTTGCTGTGAGCATATTTTCATGGAAATTTGAAGTTTCATTTGTTCATATTTCCAAGATTGGTTCATTTTTATGAAGCTGAACTCCATCTGCCCTCAACTGAAATATCATGAACCGAAACTGCCTAGTCAGGCGGAAAACAAAGGAGGAATGCTGTGACATGGATGTGTTACCATAGCAACTTTATATGCAATATGTATGAAATGGACACGCATCTGTACCACTTGTTGGTGAATGAGTACCACTGTGTCTAGATGTCACTTTTGCAAGCTATTGCTCAATGGCAGTTGTTAAAGATGTGCCACTGAAGTGTTCTATCCATAACTGAATATTGTAGGGGCATGAACCTGCCGCAATGGAAAATGTTCTACTCAACATCTTTAAATTATTAGTATTCAGGACTCTCACCTGACTTATTTAGAGGAGCAGTGCAAGAATGGTAAATTTTCCATTTTGATCTTTGAACGAGGAATACCCGCACATTAGAACCACTGTAGATGTCAATTACGCTCTTACTCTAAATCAGTGCAGTAGTGCCTTTAATATTATCTATGTGTGGTATCTCATCAAAGTTTACATCTGTGTGTTGAACATTTAGTAGCCTTGATTCCAGTCTGATTTTAAACGACCATCCCCTAGCCGCTGATTCAGTCTCATTCTAAACCAACATCAAAGTCTTTGTGGCAAAGACAAAAATGCCCCTTTAACGTGTGACTATACCACTGTAGTTGTCAACCACACTCTTACTCTAAATCAGTGCAGTAGTGCCTTTAATATTATCTATGTGTGGTATCTCATCAAAGTTTATATCTGTGCACTATTTGAGAAGTGTGTTGAACATGTAGTAGCCTTGATTCCAGTCTGATTTTAAACAACCATCCCCTAGCCGCTGATTCAGTCTCATTCTAAACCAACATCAAAGTCTTTGTGGCAAAGACAAAAATGCCCCTTTAACGTGTGATGGTTATCCAGATGTTGGCCTGGCACTATCTGGCCGGTCGTAATCTGCTTTAACCCAGGAAATTCCGCATTAGTTTTCTTGCATGTCATGACAGTGGTCGGCCATTGTTTTGAAGCTGTCACTGTTGTTTGGTTCAATTATGCGGGGGGATATTTAATTGAATGAGTCCTGCAGGTGTTTAGAAACTATTGATAAGCTGCATAATTAGCTCACATGACTTAGCAATTTTTGGATAAAAAGATAAGGTCTTATTGTGCCACATACCCGTGGTGTCATGGGAGGGCAGATTGCAAGAGGATGGAGATTTTCAAAGAAAAAATTGGATCAGTGATAGAAGTAAAATTGCAAATTACTCCACAGGAAATCAAATGGAACAAACACAGGACACTTGTGATGGCTTTGGGGGGGGGCATTTTGGCACAGCTCACTTCATTGTCTGGCCACTTGTCTTGTTTCTCAATGAAATCAGTTCACAGAAGATTGCTTGTGTATCCATGAACAAAGGAAATGAGGAACTTCCTTTTGATTCATTGTAACTTCACCTTCATTGTCCTTTGCCACTTGCTGTTCATGTTCTTGTGATCGGTTGCCAGACTTTTGGAAACTGTGTCAGTGTAGGGAGACAAGATGGTTTCTCTTAGTCTCTAGTTATTAAGTGTCATTTACAGTTTTCAGTTTTGGTATTTTCTGCATTCGTGTATTTGCCTGTACTAATTTATTGTGTAAGCTGTTTAGTGTAGGCGTTGGAGGAAATGTGTCAAACTACCTCTGCCTTTGATGAATTTTTGATTGCGGCCAATCTGGCATTTTGTGTCATAGGAGCTCCACAACGTTGTTTTGTGTCAAGGAAAATGTAGCATAGAAGTGTAGCATAGAAGGATAAATGTCATCTTCCTGTTATTGCTTGGACAGTGTTAAAGAGCATTTCCTGTTGTTGGTAGTTGGATATTTGGATAGGAGTCGATTCCTGTTCGTGGTGGACTGGTCTTGCAGTTCAGTGACACAGAAAACCTTCCAGTTGACTGTCAATGTTCATGGGGAAAAAAGGGAAATATAGGTTAAGGAAAAATGGTCAAAATTTGAAAATGTAAACATGCCGTTGCTGTCATGCTGTTATAATGGCAAGTTGTCTACAGCTCATGGATGTGTGAAGAGTGGTGCAGATTGTTACTGCACTCCTCAAGAGCAAAGGTTAAACTTAATTTTGTCGTGAGAACAAAGTCCTTGCACTACAGTAGGCTAGACCCTTTACCATGTTAGCCTCTCTATGGGACATTTTGGACGATTTCCAAAATACAACAAACAGCATTCTAGTCTCTGTGAGTCCAAGAATTGTACATTTAGGCAGTGTCATCTTTAAAGTTCACCAACATCCCCCCTCCCAGTGTAGTGTTTCACAATCACATTTCATCACGCGCGAGTCACTGTGTTGAGGAAATGGAGCTGAATTGATCGCCGGATGCCTTATGACTACATCACTAGGCTTTCATTTGATGAGGTTAACAAATTACAGCTGCCTCAAGACGGCGTTGTGGCATAACTCATTTTCGTGTCCCCACTCTCTGCTGGTATTCCTCATTTCAAACAGAAAAAAAAATACTTCTGTGACCTGCAATAACCCTAAGCCGTTCCTCGCCAGCAGTTCCCATTCTCATGTTTACGCTGACATTTGGGTGACACAAGCCCCAAGGAGGAATTGTATGTGTAAATTCAGGGCACGTATACTGCTCACATGATTGATTTCAGTGCACTCCAAGAATCATCAGCCATAAGTATGAACTTCACGTACAGTAGGACGTGAAACCAGCAGTGCCTTGAGTAGCTACGTTACTTGTAGCCTCCTCGAGGGGCATATTGAGGTAAAAAAAAAATAAAAAATGGGTACTGGAGGTCAGTTGTTTAATCTGTGTAGGATTCCAGACAATTTGTATCATCGTCAGTGCCTCATGGCCCTGTCAAGTCATGACTGTTGTCGTGACCACCGGCCTTTTTTATTCCTCTCGGAGTTTCTTGATCTGTACTCTTAGGCCAAGTAGGTCTGTTCTTTTTTTCCCCGGGTTGCCTGAACTAGTTCTGGGAGTCATGCAGGTCAACTGGTGAGGATGTCATGAGTCGCGCAAAAGATTGAAGTGTAGTCCAATCTCTGAAGCATCTCTTAAGGGCTTAACATGTCTCAAGTGAAAGTCACCTTTGATTCTGACCTAGGAACAGAGGTCAGTTCTGAGTCACAGAGGTCGGAACTGAGTTGACCCACCAAGGGTAGATCGCAGTAACAATTCACAGACGATTTCATTCATTTATGAGTCATGTTCATGAAGTTGGCGTTGAGTTTATGAGATGCACTAGTCTTAAGTTACAAGTTCCAAACGTTAAATCTCAGTGCAAGTATTTGAATGATGAGTCATAAATAACGAAGGTCAGTTGTGACAGGTCTCAGACATCCATTTGAGAGTCTGAGTCACCAATGTTGTTTCAGAGCTTTACACGTAGCTGCAAGTCACAGAAGTCACGTATGAGACCAAACTACCAAGAGCAAGTTTCAGTCTCAAATTTTTCAGTTAGTGAATTCAGTTGTAGTGATTGTTATTAAAGCCCGTAGGGTGACAGAGCTTATGGCCTGTCTCCTTACTCTATGGTCAAAAAATGAAGCATATATTTCATTTGAAAAGGTTGACTTGTCTTAAAACGCCAACTGGCTTAGATCTCAGTCTCAGGATAGGTAGAGTCCTTCCTTGACGTGAAATACTGCAGAAGTGGTGGATATCTTTTCTAGCCAAGCTGTCACAATGTTATATTGCCAAGGCTTTATAATTGGGGAGAGAATGCACAACTTGTTACCTGTGAAAATAAAAGCCCAATAAAGTCACTGTTAAACCCAACGCTGGGACAAGAATTTGGTACGGCGATTTTGAGTGCCCATGGACACTAGTTAAATCAAGACAAGGTTCCACGTCTCTATGATCCTTCAACGTGTACCATGTAAATAAGTGTCATCGTAATTGATTGATGAGCTGTACACAGGACCTTAGTTGTACTACAGAGGAATGCCCCAGGCTGAAGAACAGAAACAACTCTACAAAGATGTCATTTTGTGGACATTTCACTTGTCAACATCGGCAGTTATCTGGCTTGCACTGTACGAAGCCCACACCCACGGAGAGGGTGAGAAATTGTTTTCAACGTTAGAAGTCCAGCGGCCGTTAATGTTTCACCACTCAAAAACGTTTGGCTCTGTTCACACATTACAAACAGTTTTCGTTATCGTGAACATCAATCATTTGTGTTTTAAATGCACCAAATAGTTTCTGGATTTGAATTTTCAAACTCCCTGGTGGATGCAGCATCTGATTTGTTTTGTGCTTTCATGAAATCTTAACACAGGAACGGCAAAATAACTGTACTGTGTAAGATACCCACTCGCACGCAACTCTCGTGAAATATTCATCCACTGAGCAAAATACATCTTTGAAATACTCAGTCCAGCCACTCATAAATAGGAAAAAAAATGGAGGATCTTCACTCATATATCATCAGTTGGACTTTCAACCTTTTAAGCCTCAGATTTTCCACTGTTCCAAACACACACAGCATTACCATCATCATCATCATTACCGAGCTGTGCACTTCTCCTGTTCCTTTCTTGTCATTAATTCTCTGACAAACTCCCCTAATGACCAAGGCATCATTTCCTCCCTAGATTAAAGGAGTGTGTTCACTTTCATAATTCAAGGAGTGGAGCGCTGAAATCTTAAGGGAAGCCTTTGAATTGTGGTGTTTGTGTCACTGCTTGGGTTTTTATTTTCTGGTTTTGGTAGAGACAGGACATGTTTTTAGTGCTGCCCTCGGCCCAACTTTGGTGTAGAAATCTCAGAAAGAAATCTCTTAAGAGATATGTTTCTTTAGGGAGTCCTTTCATGACAGCATTGTTACAAAAATCTCTTGTTTTTGACACAGTACCTTTAACAATCTACTCGAGAGCCGAGTTTACACAGTTACAGAGTTTTGGAGGCTTGTCATGAGTACAAATTTTGTCTGTAAGTCCCATAGGTTTATATAGAGAAGTCATTATTTTTGTGCATAATAATTACAAGGAGTATCTTGCATGAACTGATAAGACACTGCTTAAACAAGGCCGAGCGTAACACTTAATGGGACCTTTGTTATCTTTGCAAAGCATCTGCAATATTCCCAAGCTCTCTGTAGCCTTGAGCGGCAATCGTACCCTTGAAGTACCGAACTGTCCAGAATCGTCACTGCCCTACCTACACCATCCAGCCAACGATAAGGGGCCCAACTTCCTCTTATCGGCACTATAAAGCGTTATAATTTCCTCAGTACACAGAAAGCCTTATAGTAATGTGTCATTTATAATTAAAAGAAACCACTATCTTCACAAATATCATGCCGACATCGTTCCTACATTTGGCTTGAATCCAAAAAAGTGTCATCAACTGCATGAAAAATTCACAGTAATTAATATTTTGTCAACAAAAATGACCCGAATACCGCCTTCTGAATTAGTTGAATACTGCTGGAACAAATGAGATGTTGAGAATTGCCGAAGTCCGTACTTCCTTGTCACTAGGATTGATAAGGTTAATTTCCTTTCTACCAAGAATGCGATTCAGGAGGCTACAATAACAATAATCCCAAAGCCACATCCCTGTCAGGAAGGGTGGAAAGCATGTGATAAATTCACTCTCTCTCATCTAATCAAATAAATCCTTACTCCAAAAATAATCAGCTTGTGTGGCCTGCCACTAGGACCTTGATTGCTTGTAGGATTATGAATTTCGCCTCCCTCCTGTACCCCCCCCCGCGAAACTCTCGTTAGCTCACATTCAGCTCTCCTGAAGCCACATGGGAATACATGTATTATGAGAACTTTTCAACGATGCATCTTTTGTTCACGGCATACTAATAATGGGGAAGGTGCTGGCTTTATAAACAAACCTAAGCTCATTATAGTCACATGCTTCTGTAATGGCAGCACCATAATTGCCTTGAAAATCCTTTGCTGGGAAGGTTTGCTCTACAAGTAGAATTGCTTCAACAACAGCGTAATCTGTGGAATAAAATTGAATTCAGGGCAACAAGTTATTTGCACTCAAAAGAAATTGCTAAAAGCTCGCCGCTTAAACATGCTGATTTTTCATTAGATTGTTCTCTAGAAATGTTTTAAATGTAACAAATTATATCCATGTTTGGGTGTTTGATTCAACAAACCAGGCTTCTTCATAATTCCTAAGCAGTAGTTGAACAGTATGAGTGAAACAAAGTGTCTTCTCTCTACAGGATAGATCTTCACTTTCATTTGGACAAATGCAACTGCCAAAATTGGTTGTCAACACACACCTCTCATAACCGACACTTCTGCATGTATCATGGAGGCAAAGATTGCCACCAACAGAAATGGATCTATCAACAACGTAACCATTTTCTTTCCTTTTTTTTTCAATATATGCAGCTAGATAATGATTAACATATTGCAAACATGAACGCAACCCTCCATGATCAGGCGGATACTTCACACGCTTGCTCATGTAATAAAAGTTGGAAGTTATTACATGTAGGTATGACTACTTCATTCAAAATCCAAGTAGGGAAGTGTTGGAAGCCTGACATTGGAATTTAGGGCTGAGTCAATTCGAATAATTCACTAGTCAAATATTGGACTTTCAATTCAATTGAATGTCCGAATATTTTTTTGGTTGTACCGACCGGCAGATTGTTGAGGAACAAACCATGTTGTACTATTTGTACTAATGCACACAATTGTACATTATGATCACTACAATAGCTTCTCACGTCTGGGAGTATCTCCAGCCATAATGTAGCAAGATTAAGAGATGAACAATACTTCTTGCCCTGTTGAAAATTTCTATTCCTTTTAAATTGTGTAATAAATAATTTACATTTTGAATCATTTTTCATTTGAGTCAACAGGCCTCCTCCTTAGTGCAATTTTTCTCATTTAAAACCAAAGAAATTCCCCATTCCTTTTCATGAATTTTGCATTCGAATATTCAAATTCAGAAAATATTATTCAAATATTTGATAATCGATCAAATATTCGGATATTTGGATATTCAGCACAGCCCTATTGGAATTGTTCCTTACAATAAGACAGGGAAACTTTGACTCCTACTGAGTCAAGAAGACCAGTTGGTTTCTGTGAAGCAGCGGTTACCTCTGCGAAATTACATTTGTGAGTCTGTTAAGGCCCGTTTTTTCAGGGCTTTGTTTTTGTTGAAACGAAACAGAGCAATCTGGACTCCTGTTATGATGTATCAGTCAGTTGGGCACCCTAGTGAAAACGGACATAATGTCGAGGGTTGTTGAGGCACGGGACTCGACTGCTTGGAGGACTTTGGAGGGAAAAGGGGGAAAGTGAAGATATCAGATCCTGGGAACCCAAGTTGGCATGGCACTGATTTCAGTACTTTCAACTGAAATTTCGGTGTGTCCCAAAATATGACAATTTTTTCTTCGTACATGGTATTCTTGTTGTCCTATTAATCATCAGTTGATTTTGTGAATAGGGGTGGTAGATCACATCCAACCTTGTTCATAAATTAACTGCAGCATTTTCTGAAGTTTTTTGAACATGGAAAACATTTTATGGAATACCACCTGATTTGGGTCGTGGTTTGAATGCCTTCATCGTCAAGATTCTGTCTTTATGCCCATTCTGGTTCCCTCATCCTAAGTGTGGACTCGTACAGGTATCGGTGAAATGAGTGGGCGTGTTGTTACAGTTGTGATGGAGCACTTGAGTGTGATAGCCTAAGCGACGTTGGAATGTTTGTTCCGTCTTGACAGCGTGAAACCTGCTCCATCTCGTTGCTTGCATCCCATCTTGATCACTTGCGTATGAAGCTCAGGCAATGAAGAATCATTTTGCTTAGGGCTTCATTCTCATGCCTCGGCAGGAAGAATTAAAAACAATCAAGAGCGCTTCAAATTAGATGGAGCTGAATGTCGCCCGACTGTCTGCGACATTGTAATCATCTCATTCAAGCAGAGATGGGGTACAAGATAAGTTTTTTAAAAGGCCTGTTGCTTACTTGATATCATTTGAGTCTGATGCATGCCTGAGAATAAACATCGGTGCATCTTGCTCTTAATTACTTCCTGTGTGTGATGAATTGAAACTTCAGGAACTTTTGTTAATGGGCCTTAAGCTTTTCCCAGAGAGACAAATGTCTCTTGGAGAATTTCAGATTTTCCTCAGTCCATCACTGGATTCAGCATTAAGCACGCCCCTCACTTAAATATTGAAGTTTGAGGAATTGAAAGGGGATTTTGACAATTTTGTTTTCTTGAATGTGATTGAATCACAAACGCGTGACTGTCTTTACATGTTAGGATGGAATGGACTGTGAATGAGCTGGTGTCTGCCGTTCTCATTCCAGTTTTTGATGGGAGATTGTTTTCTTATGAATCCTGTGTTGAGGATGAATGATGCATTTGGCCACAGCCAGACCGTGTTTGTGATAATGATGATGACAGGGTGGTTTCCGCGGTAACAAGGTGATCAGAAGAAATATTGAGATGTTGCATATCAGGCAGAGCATTCCCTAGACAGCCCGCGGTTACGCTGTGGCACGATAGCCTGTATTTGTTTGTCCAACCGGTACATCTCCAGATTTCATCAGGCTGGGGCCTGTTACCCTCGGCCCCAAATAGCCCGGCCCTCTCCATGGCAGTCTTAAAAACCTCCCGGGCCCATTTGGCCAGCAATATCCCGGAATGTAGATGGCTTAAAAAGGCACTCCAACCCAATGGACAAAACATCCCTCTATTAGAAAAAATACCCCCCCTCCTAGTTAATGAACGGCAGAAATGCAATCTACCCAGAGGTTGTTGGGAACATGCAGTTATTGCCGAGTTTGTCTTCTGTCGTCCCTCAGAAAAGGTCAGTGGCACAAACTGGAGGGCCTAGGAGACTGGGGAATGAGATTTCGTTTGCAGGGGATCATTTTTGAAAGTGGTCTGTCAGACCAGGATCCTCTTCTCCAATTTCCCAATTGCATCGTCATCTTTTCAGGATGACCCTCCAAGGTATTTTAAGATTTTTTTGGGCTTCAGCCAGGAAAAAAGGCATTCATAGCACCGATTGCTCTTGCAAGATTGTCCAATCTGACAATCATAAAAGAATACACTTCATCAGTCCACCTGCAAGACAGCCGATTAACCAGTCCCTCAGTCAATTAGTGCCAATCAATTTAATCAGCCAGTTGGTCAGTCAATGTTAATCAGTTCAATCAGTCAATTAATCAGTACCTCAGCCAATCAATTGGTCAGTTTAATGTTTAACAAATTATAGCACCATCACTTAATACAGCTATTTGAACTCAATGAAGACAAACTGAAAATATTTCCAACATTCGTCGGTGAATATTTGCCTTTTTATTTGATTCTCATCAGACATTTTAAATAATTCATTTGAAAGTAGTCGGTGTTCAGTTATTTCTTTTTGTAACCATCTAATCTTTTAACCACTATATTAAATTATGCATGATTTACTCTGTACAAATTACGTCAGTGTCCTTCACTACAAAATATTTCCTAGAAAATAAACTTTTCTATTTGTAATCAGACTTTCTTGTGCAGTCACACAACCATGACAATTTATTGCCTATTAAGGGAGGGGGGGATCACTTTTTTTCCAAGGGGAAAAATGAGAAGTTGAAGCTGGAAGAAAACCATTCAGGATTATTGCACAGCAAGAACAATGTACGGTGTGTTGCGTGATATTGATAGTTTAAAGACAAAAAACCAATCAGATATACTCTTGTCTTCCACTGATTCTACTAAAATTTCTTGACAGTGTTGCATCATTATTGACTTTTTTAAAGTTAATAGAGTTTGGCAATTTAGGGTTGAAACTACCAACCACAACGGAAAATGAAGAATCCAGTTCAGAAGATAGGGATTATATTTGTCTACGGAGCACTACAAAGGATAAAATAAAAGCTTAACAACCAGGCATTTATATTCTGTTCTATGTCATACCCTTCCCAATGTACAAAAATATACAAAAACTGAAACCCTTCAATGTACAAAACGTAAAATGAACATATAAATGCTGTGTTGTATACACTGTTTCCTTGCATAATACTTGAAAAGGAAAAATAGACAATTCGTTTTTCGATAAATCCCTGGGGGTATGATCATGATATTTCGCGACGTTTCTTAATAAAGACAAATATTTACATCTCAGGTTGATCTGGATTGATAATGATATGCGGGCAAATATGTCAGCTGGTATTCTGCCCAATGTAGGCATCGGACTCATGCGATTTGCCCCCTGTCTATAGAATGATATTGACGATTTTTCTTTTATTGAGCAACAAAATCATCAGTTTTTTTCAGACAGTAATCTTGCCACGTCATGTGACAGCTAATCATTTAATAGGTCCACTGATCAAAGTTTCACTTTTGTGAGGCAGTATCAAACAAAAGCAGATTATCAATCCCAAAATTTGGGTCACCCCAAAAATTTCTCTCAAAGGGCAGCAAGTTTTTCATTATAATAAACATCAAAATCATTGCATCGTGCTTCAGTATGTTGAAGCCTTCGAATCAGACTTACTTCTCGTGCATCCAGAATTCTTGACAAGATGCTCTTAGAACATAACAAACCACCTCCATATTTCACCACAGTCTCATCACTCACTCTCGTAATAAAGGCATGTAAACGACTGAAACCAACAATTCCCTGGTAACCGACAAGTGGCCATTCCTTGTCAAGTAGCAATATAGAAAGTATCTGTATTATATGAAGCCGTATTTCTTCATTAGCACGTTTACATTAGAATCTAGTCTCCCCATATGCAAGGATGTTATTGGTGTTCCAAGCACCTTGCACGGCAGGTTAGTTTACCCATTTCATGACCGCTGCCTTGTGTAGCAGAGTTCATTTCTTTTTGTGACTTGCAAGGTAATCTATACCTGTGAATTACAGAGAACATTTTGGCATCTTTGGGTTGCCGGAGGGGGTCCCATCCCACAGAATTAAAATATCCTTCATTTTTTTCCAGCTTCTTGTGATAGGAAGTTGCCAAAAATATAGTCCTTGCTGCATGTTTGGCTAAATATTTCGCAAAGAAACCATTAATAACAGAAGAGATCAAATAGATGTATGTGACCTGCTTCAAAGAAAGTGGAAAGTTACAGATGAAGTGTAAAGTGAGACAAACATCTCCAAATGAAACAAAATATTTCAAACAAAACATGACATTTTAGCTTCTGTTTTGCATCGATCACTGACAACGGGGACGGTGTTTAAATTGGCAGCAAATCTGATTACATGAAAGAATTTGACTGGTTTTATTGGTAACCAATACCCAGCAGTCCTGCTATGGTTACAGGCAAAACCCATACTGCAGAGCTATGAATTGCCAACTATGCTGCCCTCTCTTAACCTGATTTGAGTAACATCGCATTCCAGGGACCTCCCCTCATTTTCCTTGCCATCTTGTGGATTTGTTACTCCAACAGATATGATTTAACCCCAAGGTTCAGTGGTCTTCTTTCTCCCTCAGAAATACACCTAAATATTTCTTTCTGATGAGGTGAAACTCATCCTGGCATTTGTGATTTCCTCCCAAGAATCATATTTCGTTTTGAAGCAGTTGAATTTGGCAGCACAAAAAAGTTCAGAACGTGATACTCTCAAAATCACATCAAGGTGAACTATAGACATCAGACCCCCAACATCCAGTTCCTCAACTTTATGTCAAACCACAAACACTTCGGTTTTAGGGTACAGATTGCTATAAATATTAGTTTTTATATTTGGTGGTACTTTAAAATATTACGTCAAGTATCATGCTGTAAACAGAACCTTTCCAACAATCTGTTATTCACTTAATACCCTGTCAACAAGCACTTATAATCAAGATTTAAAAAAAAACAAACTCAGAGACACTTTGTAGTTGGCTGATATTATGTTCTGGCTAACTGTGTTCGCCAACTCCTTCAGTAAATTCCCAATTATTTATTTGTTTGGTTTTCAGTTGGCCAAGAAATGCTCATTGTATGTGCTTACAGTCATGCTTTTCCTCAGAACAAATCTGGTGATGACATCATTAAATTCATTTGCATATCATTGTTGACTTGTTCACAAAAAGGCCAAGAAAAATAATGATTCTCGGGCATTAATGTGTACAGAGCTCACAGCATTGGTGTGACACGTAAAAATGCCCCTGACAAAAGAACATATATTGTATCATCAACCTATGTAAAACTTGAAGACTTGTTTCTCGCTGCTTGACTGACAACTGCTACATTTCCAACTCACACAAATTGCACTTGCTCTGATAATAAACATTCTCTCCCAAAAATAAGCTAAAATGTAATCAGTGGAGAGATTTTGTGATATATATTTTGGTGACACAGTTCATGATGATGTTAACTCGCTTTTTCCAAATCAAAAAGGAGTACTGTTTGTCGAGTAAAGGCACTTGGATGCTGATTTCATTTCTATTTTTTTTTCACTTTTCACTATTTTTTGTCCTTTTCAAAATTTTTTCTTCTGAAGGGAGGGAAAGGTTAGTGATGGCTGACTGGTGGAACAATTACAACTTCGCCTCCACTAGTCGGCCGCCATATTAGGGTCTGTGCATTGTTGGCGTTGGGTGCGCGCAGGGCCTCCGGGGGCGCCACTTCGTTCTGCCAGGGCTCCAGGATGTGGGGCTGCTCCTGGATAATGGGATCCAGCAGGCGCGCCCGTCGGCCCAGCGGCTGAGTCTCGTCCACAGCAATGTTGATGCGCATGCGCCACTTGATCGTCCGCAGGACAAACTTCTGCCCCGTGCTCTTGTTCATGGCCACTAGCCAGACGGTGAAGCTCTGGTCCCTGGCCAGCTTGGTCAGCCGCACCTGGTGGCTGTTGCGGACGGGGATGTCCCAGGTGATGGACGGGTGGAAGTTGTCATTCATGCGCAGGTGGAAGGTGCTGTAGCACGACGTGGGACCCGGGATGGTGGCCACTTCCGTTGTGCAGCCGTACCAAGGGTAGTGCTTGCCATCTGAGTCGCTGACAAAGCGCTGTTGGTTGCTCTTCAGGGAGGGAATCTCCCAGCTGGACCTGAAGAGGGCGGCAAACACAAGACATCCTTTAAGATGATTTAATATGTCACTAGCAGTTCTCACCTGGGTCACCTCCTTTCGCACTCAATTTAAAATCCCACGATTGCAAGACTACCTCAACTATTTAGCTATTGTACACATCATGCACCATTAAATCCCTTCAAACTCTGACACTCTATCCCCTAAAACACCTCAACACGTATGAGACGCATGTGGGTCAGTGGCCTGCGAAGGAGCAAGAACATTCCGAAGCCCTTGTAGATATGCAAGTTACAGAAACAAGAAGAATAGAAAAGTTTTGTAAACAAATCTGTAGTTAAGGTAGCTCTGGTCCTTCCATAATGATAGAGAAGTAAAACACTGTTACTTGTCACATTGTCAGTGTGAAGTTTAGGAACTCAGTAAAACAGTTATTTATGTCCCTCAGAAAGCCCCTTACCTATGATTTAATTATGACCAAAATTGAAATTACAGAGAAAACAAAAGGTTCATCCAATTTCCCACTGATTTCAACCCCTGTTGGAAGGCCAGTATAACGCGCACACGTTCAAAAACCTAATAAATTGAGCAGTAATATTGTTATAAACTGGATGATTAAAAATCATTTCACCGGTAAAGTGCACAGAGTAAACACTGGCAGTTATAAATTTGAACTGAAGCGTGCATGCGAGGCACCTTTGATTAGAAATCTGCATGCGCAATAATACAAGTTCACCACTCATGAGTAATGACATTGATACAAAAAAGCTCGGTGCCAAGTAATCACCACAATGATGAATCAGACCTGTTCAATTTTTCATCACCAATCGTAAAATGTTCTCTTTGCTGTCAGACAGGACATCAGCTGGCAAACTGATCTAAATTTAGGATGGCCCGAAGTGCACTTTAGAATATTGCGCCCCCATAGGAAACAATCACAACAAAGAAAATAGAGGACAGAAAGTCCTCAGTCGCATTCATTTGGGTCACCCTATGAACTGACTTACATGCATACATGTACTCTCCCTCACTCTGTAGAACAAGACATCAGACAGAGCTGGCAATGGCTATCGCCTTGAGCCTGATGAAAATGCATGTCAACATGAAGCGGAGGGCAAACCCCCCCCCCAAAAAAAGCCCCGGGCTAACATAAATACACTCCGCAAATAGCGCACTGCTCATGAGAGGCACAAACGTGCTGCCGTACATCATTTAGTAGAGGGGAATACTCTGATGTGTGAGTTCACCTAAGATTCTCCATGCATGGCAGGTAGTGTATGACAGATATAATTAATTAAAGCTCTGTAGAAAAGCAGGTACATGTGTCTACAATTGCACCATCATTCATACTGACGTAAAAAATTGAAACATTTAACATGCATTTTGTCAATAGTTATCTATTCTCTGTGCACCACTTCACTCTGGCAGGCCTAGTTCATCTATTCTTTTCCAGCTGGTGGGCCACAATTTTTTTCTTGTAGGTTTTTTTCCTTTTGAGGTTTTTTGCTGTGCCTATATCCCCAACCCTACATAATACTACAAATTACTACTTAGTAGTAAAATGTAGTGATCAGCCCTGTCGCTTGTAAGAGGACATGACCTTATTGTTCTCTGAAGCCATAAAATACAATAGATAAGACAATGTACCATACAGTGCTGTTGCACTATGAATGCATGGCTTTAGTGTTCTCTGTACAAGTAACAATGGAAGTAACCCTAGCCAGAAGTAGTAATTTGTAGCCTCAGGTCCTTCAGGCTCAGGCTACTATGTAGTATTTTATTGCACTGAGTTCTGTAAGCCAAATGATATGTAGGACTGTTGAGGTTAATACAACTGTGTTGAAGCTACTCAAAGTGGTCTACCTGTAATTGATTTCAGAAATTGAGGGGATCACAGTAATGGCCTTCACATGCCTACCAGTAGAGTTACACCCATATATTTAACTGTCCAGAGGCCAGAGGCTGCATCCGATTTTGTGGCTACGGCTGGATATAACATGGGTGCCTATGCAAGCCACTAGCTAGCAGCTGAAGCCACTTCCCATAGAAACGTGCTTCTCCCAACCACAGCCAGTCGATTTAGACATGGCCTCAGAGTTAATCAAGGTACATGCATATGCAACATAGCACAGTGAAGCCTCACTTGTGAAGTATTCAGTCTACTTTGTAGTTATGCTGGTGCCATCCTTTCTGTTGGTGAAGGATCACCTGCACTCAGAATGCATAAACCACATGTGATCTATTTTTGGTGCATATTTTTAAAGCAGTTGCTGCTTTCATTACAAGCAGTTTGCCTGGAAGTAACACTTCACTGGTAGCCATGCACCATATTCAGATATAAATTGAAGAATGAGGACTACCAGGGAAGTGTTGCTCCTAGAGAACAGACATGTCCCCAGTACGTTTGCTAAGAAATGGCCATAAAGGAAGTCGAGTGACCTGAACAATGACGTAGGTAGAATGGACTTTGTGATCATGTTCGTTAATTACTGTGGTCTTTATGAACGTAATTCAGAATTTAATACAATGACCAATCAGCCATCACATTCAGGATTACTTGTAGCATTGGTAACAGGTGATGCGGACAAGCCATGAGCTGCACTTATAATGAGACCAACTTCCCGGGTACGTAGTTTGACAGAGTGTGAGTCAGACCCCCTGACTAAAGTGAAGGGGGAGGGGATTAGGTTCCAGGCAATAATTCTTGATCAGTATCAGGTGCAATCCCGTTTTCCATTCCCTCCGGAGAGTGAATCATAATCTCTCCAAGCATGGTCACTGAATTGGAGGAGGGAAGAGGTAGCAGATGAGGTGGTAGAGCTAGGGAGGGAAAGGACTTGAATGTGTGTAGGAATGCGATACTACGGTGACTATCACTTGTAGTGTCCCCCATTCGAATCCCAACTGCCCAGCATGGATAGCCTACTGGGTTTGGTCCCCATTTGATTCTGTGGGTTTTTCCAGGGGAAAAAGTCTGGTTCCCTTCAAGCCCATCCTGACAAATTCTTCCTCTGTAATGTATTTCTTCATGCCATATGGTACAGGGAAATACACATACTCTCATCTTGTCAAAATACGATTTCAATTGTACGATTGTACTCCAATTCTGCCTCTTCTTCCAATCAGAGACAAGACACTCTGCACTCTTCTCTGAGTCTCCACTGGAAAGATATTACATTTCCCTGATGTCAGCGGTGACAGACACATGCATTCTATACTTTGTCATGGCCACTGAAACAGGAACAGGCTCGAGAATGGAAGGGTTCATAGAGTTAATAGAAACATTCGGCATCATAAAAATTCAGCTCAAAGCATAATTAGATCAGCAGGTTTTCACTAATTGGATGACTCCGTGCCCCAGTACTGCTAAGCATATTTATGACTGCTGCTAGCAACTAATTGGAATAGCATTATTACATATTCCGCTCACAGCTTAACTAATACGCTGGTTGTACTGCTTACCTTATTTTCAAGGGCAAAACATTGCTGTTAATGAAATATCATTTTTCAGACAAGGAAAAGTGATATGTTACGAATTGATGGACCTTAACTCAGTGACATTGCCAAGTTTTTGCGTCTCTAGAGAGCAGGGACATCTTGAATGCAAATCTCAAAGTATGAGCATCTAGCCCGAGTCGCGCTGCTTTAATCAAAGCTGGCAACTTAGCGCCTCTGAAATGGGATCTCATGAATTACTCATGCCACCTTGGAACGTGTCGTGTTCATGGAGCATCGGAAGGGGGAGTGTCTGATTGAAAACGACGATAACAAATGCAGATTGTGCGACGGGGAAATGACGAGGTGGTGAAATCCACAAAGCCTCCCGCCGGTATCGTTTCCCCATTAAATGAGCCGATGGCTAGCTGGCTGAATAATAACACCAGCTTTTAATGGAAATTTAGGCCACAATGATTTCTAGGTGGGCGACATTAAAATTTCGCAGTGAGCATGTGTACAGCGTCAAATGCATCAGTAACTTATTTCTTGTTGGGGGAAGGGTGAATTTTGTAGAACAAGATTTTATTCTCATAAGCTGGAGCTCACGATTGTAGTATATATGCTGGTGCGTGCAAATGTTTCCAAGTGCAACATCGTTGCGTCATGGCTTTTTAAATTGGGCCAGAGTAACCCCCAACACTTCCCTGATTCTCTCACCAAGGTCGCTGCCACAAAATAGGCTTTTCCCAAAACTTTCACCCAATCTCTGAGAAAAAAAAAACCCGATGTGCAAATGTCCAAAGGTTTCCAACCGCACAAAATCAGGTACGCAAGCTTTTTTCTCTGTCCAAAGAAATTCTACCCCAGTTTTGATGCCGAAGTGCAAGCCAACATGTATTTTCACCGTTCTGAGGAATGCCTATCCTGCGCAAATTAAATGATACACCACAATTTTTAGTTTTGCATTTCCTTTTCGATTTCAGTGCTTACAAGGAAGAACAGTATACATTCTACGATTCAGCCCACATATGCTTGAACTTTGCCCTGTGAAATCTGATCTTGTTTTTTCTACATTAAAATGTATGTGCACTGATGAGATTCCCAGAACGTGTTCACTTGTATTAGGACACGCTGCATTAATTTGTGACATTAAAATAAGCTTTGTCAGATGGTTATCCTGTAGGTTAAAACAGATATGCAAAAATATGAACAGGTGATACGGAAACAGCACGGTAAAAGCAACCTAAATTTGATATCAGAGTACCTAATATGACTGCAAGGTCCTGAAATTAAGCTCACTAAAATGAAGTGAACAGTAACCAGTTCATTTTCATCACATTTCCTTTGTTGATGTTAATCCTGCAAAATGCCACTGATTTGGTTTACCCGCAGGCACTTCTACCAACATCAAGAGACTTGCACTTTTGCCCTACTTCATTTAAACTATGTTGCACTTGTCAACTACCCAGTTATTAGGTTTCTGACACATCCTGAAGTTGATTGTACTTTCTATGGTCAATGGAGCAATGGCAATTCACACTGTACACATCAGCTGTACTCCCTGTCACAAAGTTCAACCAC